CCAGTGCACAACAGAATTCAGCACTGCCCGGTGCTGTGCCATCCTCGCAATCATTGCTCTGCTTGAGCCCTTCCTTGCAGCTATTGTGTCAACGCAGCTTGTTGAGGGTCTCCCCCTTTTCCACTGTGCTGACCTTCTACTGTACCAAGCATGATATTCTTCTCCAGGGACTAGTCATTTCTGATAAACATGACTAAAGTATGAGAGACAAAATCTGGCCATTCTCACTTCTAAGTATTCTGGCTATACTTCCTCCAAGACAGATTTGCTTGTTTTTCTGGCAGTCCATGGTATATTCAATACTCTTTGCCAACACCACAATTCAAATGCATCAATTCTTTGGTCTTCCTTATTCATTGTCAAGCCTTCACATGCATAAGAGGCTATTTAAAAGGCAATGGCTTGGGTCAGGCATAACTTAGTCTTCAAAGTGACATCTTTGCTCTTCAGCACTTTAAAGAGGTTTTTATTTGTAGCAGATTTTCCCAGTGTAATACCTCATCTGATTTCTTGACTGCTGCTTCCATGGGCGTTGATTGTGGATAAGGAAGACTGTTTAATAACTAGCAATATGCAGATAACACAATCTTCTTTGCTGAAAGTGAAGAAGACTTGAAGCACTTACTGATGAAGATCAAAAACCACAACTTTCAGTATGGACTACACCTCAACATAAAGAAAGCAAAAATCCTCACAGCTGGACCACTAAGCAACATCATGATAAATGGAGAAAAGACTGAGGCTGTCATTTTACTTGGATCCAGTTTTTTTCCCCCCATGATTATGGAGGGAAGTAACAGATTACAATTCAGAATGAGAAACAGGTCAGGATAGAGTTCTTCAATCAGGACAGGTTCTTCTCAGCCCTGCCACAGGTACATTTGTCTCTGGTCTAAGCCTCTTCCTTGCTCAGGCAAGTATTACAAAGCTGTTTTAGCTCTGCCAACAGGTGCCCAGAGAGGCACCCCACTCCCCCAGCCAGTTCCTGTCCAAAGGCATTCAGCTTTCTTCCTGCACGGGCCGGGAAGTCTGCCACTCTTTCTCATGTTGGTCACTTGATTCTGTTGCTGCCATTTCTCTGCTGCTGCTTCTCGCCATCCCTTGCCATCTCAGCAAAGTGTTACAGCTCTCTCTCTGTCTCCTGGGGTGAGGAGGTCCAGCGCAGGAATGTTGGGTCCAAAGATGTGCTCCACTCCTGGCTCTTCTTTCTTGATGGTAGT